AACATTGTAAATGATGATGTAATCTATGCAGAAATAGAAGTACAATGATGTACACCTGAAATTTTTACAATGTTATAAACCAAAGAATTTAAATTCAAAACTATAAAACTCCTAGAAGAAAATATAGGGGTAAATCTTCATCACCTTGGATTTGACAACGCTTTCTTATATATGACACCAAAAGCAGAAGAAACAAAAGAAAAATAGATAAATCTGACTTCATCACTATTAAAAACTTTTGGGCATCAAAGGACAATAACAAGAAAGTGAAAAGACAATCTACAGAATGGAGAAAATACTTGCAAATCATATACCTGATAAGAGACTTGTATCTAGAATATATAAAGAACTCTTACAACCTAATAATAAAAAGATAAATGAATTAAAAAAATACTCAATTTAAAAATGGGCAAAGGACTTGTATAGACATGTTTCCAAAGAAGATATGCAAATGGTGACCAAGCATATGAAAATATGCTCAACATCATTAGTCATTAAAGAATGCAATTCAGGGGCCGGCCCGATGGAGTAGTTGTTAAGTTCGTGTGCTCTGCTTCAGCGGCCCAGGGTTTGCAGGTTCAGATCCCGGGCATGACCCACGCACCGCTCATCAAGCCATGCTGTGGTGGCGTCCCACATACAAAATAGAGAAAGATTGGCACAGATGTTAGCTCAGTAACAACCTTCCTCAAGCAAAAAGAGGAAGATTGGCAACAGATGTTAGCTCAGGGCCAATATTCCTCACCAAAAGAAAAAAAAAAAAATGCAATTCAAAACCATGAGATGCCACTTCATACCCACCACGATGACTATAATTTAAAGAAAAATCAGAAAATAACAAGTGTTGGCAAGGATATGGAGAAATCAGAACCTTCGCAGATTGCTCATTAGAATGTAAAATGGTGTGGCCACTGTGAAAAACAGTTTGGTGGTTCCTCAAAAAGTTAATCATAGAATTACCATACGATTCTTCAATTCCACTCCTATATATATACTCAGAAGAATTGAAAACAGATATTCACAGAAATACTGGTATACAAATGTTCACAGAAAGACTACAATAGCCAAAAATGTGGAAACAATCCAAATGCCTACCAATATATGAATAGATTTTAAACATGTAGTATACTCATACAATTGATTATTATTTAGACATAAAAAGAAATGAAGTACTGATACATCCTAAAGACAAATGAACCTTGAAAACATTATGCTGAATGAAAAAAGGCATACACAAAAAGTCACATATTATGATTCCATTTATGTAAAATATCTAAGTAAATCCATAGAGACAGAAATAGATTAATGGTTGCCAGGGGCTGGTGGAAGGAGGCAAGGAGGAATGACTGCTTAATGGGTACAGGGTCTCTTTTGAGAATGATTAAAATGTTTTGGACCTAGATTGTGGTGATGGTGTCACAACATTGTGAATGTACTAAATGCCACTGAAATGTACATTTTAAAATGCTTAATTTTACATTGTGTGAATTTCACTTAAAAAAAAAAGTCCAAAAAGACAAACAATCCAATTATAAAGTATACAAAAGATCTGAACAAATATTTCACTAAAGAAGAGACAGGAATGGCAAATAAGCACATGAAAAGGTGCTCAACATTACCATCCGTTAGGAATATTTAAATCCATAGTGACAATTACAAATAGCATTCAAAAGAATAACATACTTAGGAATAACTTTAACACTGCACACTGAAAGCTACAAAATATTGCTGTAAGAAATTAAATATCTAAATAAAAAGACATTCCATGTTCGTGGAAGACCCAATATTGTTCAAGATGGCAATTCTCCCTAAATTGGTCTATAGATTTAATCCAATCCTTGTCAAAATCCCAGCAGGATCTTCTGTAGCAACTGAAAAGCTGGTCCAAATGTATACGAAAACGCACAGAATACAGAACAGTTAAACAATCTCGGACACCTGGGATGCAACTGATATTCATACAAGTATTATATATATACAAATCCCATAAACAAAAAAACACAATGAGATATCACTACACACTTACTACAACAGCTACAATCAAAATAACAGACAATAAAAAAATATTGGCCAGGATGTAGAGAAATTGGAATCCTCATTCATTGCTGGTAAGAATAAATATAAAATTGTGCAGCCACTTTGGAAAACATTTTGGGAAGTTCTTTAAAAGTTAAATATAAATTTACCCCACAACCCAGCAATTCCATTTCCAAGAGAAGGAAAAACATATGTTCACACAAAGACTTGTATGTAAATAGTCATAGCCACAGTATTCATGCTGGCCAAAAAAAACCTGGAAACAATGTAAATGTCCATCAACCATCAGATGGATAAATAAAATGTGGTCTATCCATACCAGGAAAGATTATTCAGCAGTTAATAGGATGGAGATAGTGATACATGCTAGAACATGAACGGATTTCAAAATCATTATGTTAAGTGAAAGAAGCCAGAATAGATATTTTAGAAGAAGGAAAGACTATATATTTTATGGTTCCATTTACATCAAATGTCTAGAAAAACCAAACTCATATAGAGAGAAAGCAGATAAGTTGTTACCTTGTACTAAAGAGGTAAGAGTGGGTATTGACTGAAAATGGGCTCAAAGAAAACTTTGGGAGTGATGGAAAATTTCTAAAATGAGATTTGGTTATGGTTGCATAACTTGATAAATTTAATAATGGGTGATTTTATGGTATGTATATTATACTCCTGTAAAGCTGTAGAAAAATGTGGTCAAAAGATGTTAACAGGCATTTTATAGAGAAAAACATACATGTGGTTCATATTAACCTGAAACTACGATCAGCATCAATCATTACCAGGGAATTACAAATTCAAAGTATTATGAGATATCTTTCATACTCCAAAATATGGTACAAATTTTTTAAGTATGAAACAATAGGAACACATCTACTGCTAGGAGGACTATAAAATTGTACAACCACTTTGGAAACAGTTTGACGTAACCTAGTAAGGTAACACATTCACATACCCTATGACTAAGAAATTCTACTCCTAATTATGCACTCCAGAAAAAATCTTGCACATCTGCACAAGCTGACATATACAAGAATGTTCACATGATATTATTCATAATAGTAACTAACTAGACAACTCAAATATCCATCAAGTGTAAAACTGAATATTGTACAATAGAATACTATACAGCAGTAAAAATGAAATCACAGTTATCCACAACTATATAGATAAAGCTTAAATCATAATGCCAAGTTGTATAAAAATCATACAGTGTAATTTCACTAATAAAACTAAGCAATACATTATTTAGTGATAGGTACATAAGTGGTAAAGCTATAAAGAGAAGCCAATCAGAATAGTGGTTATTGTTATCAGAAAAGGGCACATAAAGCATTCCTTAAGTATTAGTAAATTTCTATTTTCTAATGTGGTATGTGAGCCCCTGCGTGAGAATCTGGATGTTTGTTTTATTATTGATATTTATATTGTATATACGCTTTGCATTTATGATATACTATTTCACACCATAAAAAAAAAACTTAAAGGACTTATAATCAAGGAAATAGACATGGAAAGGCATCTATGGAAAAATAATAGAATGATACCAACTCATTTATAGATTATCCTAGAGAATACATATAGTTTTATTATTTAGCCAAAAAGGTGACCAAAACAGGAATCACAAAAAACTTCAGATATGTAGGTAGATGGCTAGAGAGATAAAGAAGCACTTATATAACTTACAAAATATAAAATTTTACATAATTCATCAGTCTTCTGCTATGAAACGTGGAATTTCTACCTGCTGATTGTAGTCACTGACATCTTTCTCACATAAACCACCATCTTTAATATTAAGGTGAACTCAAGCAAGGCAAGAACTTGCTGTTCCTTCTGTGTGGCACCTTTACTTCTCATTCACCTTTTCAATGAGGGTGGCTCTTTGAGGTCCCACCTTTATGTGAGGTGTCCTCTTAAATATTCCACCTTCAGCAGGCTCTAGGCTTATCTTAGCTCCCTGAATTGCTGTCAGAAGAAAACCCCAAAATGTCTCATGTTCAACAGAAAACCCCAAGACAAAAGCTAGGTTTGGCTTTCAATCACCTCCCACTTAGTTTCTGGACTTTGTGCCCCTCAGCAATGTTTATAAACAGAAGGAATTTTAAAAGTATTTAATCAGTATCATAGTCATTTTAGCCAAGTGAGTCATTCATTGGTATTTGCCTACTTTACACTGGTCTTGGGCATGTCACCTTCAGCCTCACTTTGACATAATATTTCTGGCCACCCACAGTTTTACCCTGCTTTATGGTAGGTGGGAGGTATGACTCTCTACCTTGTAAGAACCAACCAATTGAGAGCAGTGTTATTGCTGAAAACAATAAAATATTACCTATGAAATGTAAACTTCTTGACCATAAAACAATTTGTTTTATGGTACTTGTGCCCTAAATGACTGAGAGAAGGTAATATTCTAATTGTTCAGCATATAAGAAAGATATAAAAATGAAAAAATGGTGAAGGTTTGTCATCTGAAAAAGAAAATTTACTTTTTTTTTACATTTTTTTAACAAATGATAACAGAAAATGACCACTGGAGAAGTAATTCTACAAAGTCCCTAACTAGGCCCGTCTCAATTTATCCAATCACACACCCCTCTCATACGTCAGAACCAAGGGCAGGAAAACAATTCTCATTTGCTTTTTGTATATTTGACATTGTTCCAGACATATGATAAATAATCCAAAGACTTCAATGAGTGAGTGAATGAATGAATGGATATTTCCATATGACTCTATTTTAGTTTCTACCCTCTTCTCACATACAATCTTATGTTGGTTTTTATCTTCTTTTCTCATGCATCCTATGCTATATTAATTTTCACTGATCTTCGCCCTTCCTCTCAAATCATTTCACATGCATTTAGTCAGAATGTAAGCAAAGGCAGTATATGAGGTGGCAACCAAAGTTTAGAAGGAGCTCCCAAATAAAATCCTCTTTTAGTCAATTGACTCACTTTTACTGAAGAATGTGGTAATCAGAAAGCCAAAGAATATCGAGGCGATGACAAAACACAGGAAAAATATGAAGATGAGAGATGGGTCACTGTATTGGAGGACAACTTCAGATACAATCTAACAAAACAATTGGGAAGCCAGTTTAGTCATAGTAGAAGTGGTGTCATAGAAAAACAAGGGAGGTAAAGAAAAAGGGAGGCTACTCAAGTAGCCCTAGCGAAACAGGTCACTGCTCAGTGTGATAGAAAGTTAACTAAATAACTCATTTCTCACAGAAGGGTTATCAATCTAGGTCTATGGTTTTGTTTCCTAACAGACTGAGCAGCTTCTGAATTTCCAAGGGCAATCAAGGAAAAACACATTTACTCTTCTGCAGCCTAAAGCCCCCTCAGCCCACACCCATAATTACTTTATCCCTCTCAAAGTTTAGCTGCAGCATGCTGCATTCAAATAAATACTTACTTTGACAAATAGAATCACGAACAGTAAACAGACGATGATTAAAAACATCAATAAGTATGTGACAAAATAGGAAGCCCAGAGCATAGCACTACTGAGTCCTATCATGAGCTGGTACTCCTGTGGGAGAGTTAACACAAACCAAATCTCATGAAAAACAATTCGTAGTTTTCAAAATGCATTCACAAATATTATCTTATTTAATTCCCATTAAAACCTATATAGGTTTTATTATATCATCATTTATATTATCATCCTCATTTTACAAAAAACTCAAGTCTCAGAATGATCAAGTGACCTGATCAAAACCATCCACCTAGTAAGTGGCAGTGCTATGATTCCAACTCAGAATTCTGAGGCCAGAGATCTTTTCCCCAATAACTTACCAGTTACGGTTCTAACACAAGAGACACATAAATAAAAATTTAAAACAATAAATAAGATTGCCTCTCTTTTTATTATGTACTACTTCCAGGAAGTATTAGAGGAAGGTAAATAAGCTTTAATTCAGTTATAGATTAGGGCAGGGACAAGCAAACTACAGTCCATGGGCCAAATCCAGCCTGCCACATATTTTTGTAAATAAAGCTTTATTGGTACACAGCCCTGCTCAGTCATTTCTGTATTGTCTGTGGTTGCTTTCGTCTTACAACAGAAGAGTTGATAGTTGTGCTATGGCCTGCAAAGCCTAAAATATATACTCTCGGTTCCTTTACAGGAAAAGTTTGCTAATCCCTAGTCTAAACCAAACCCCTCTGATTTTATAGATCAGAAGGCCAGACCTAGAGAGGGTAAATTACTTCTACAAAGTTACACAGCAGCAGAACTCCCTGTTTTGTGCTCTTCCTGCTCTATCATGCTGCCTCTGCACATTGCTGAGGCCACTTTTCCCTGGTACAAGCACAGCCGAGACAGACTCCCTGCATTTGAATCCTGGCTCTGCCACTTACCAGACTTGTGACCTTGAGCAAGCTCCTTGACCTCTCTGTGCCTTAGTGTCCTCATCTGTGAACACTAAAATCCAAATAAAAATAATGGGCAAGAAAAAGTTCACAGAGTTTTAGTAGTGAGCTTTCTGAACTACAATTCATCAAAAGTCATTGGTTATAGACCCTTGGTATTTCAAGTTTTAGCAAAAGCAAATCAAAGTTTAAAGCTATAAGATGATCACTTTAATTTAAAAGGCCAATAAAAAGAGTCAAATTAGTGACAGTTTTCAGAGGCTCTTCAAAATAGATGTTTTATACTACATTATTAAAGTAATATATATATATTTTTTTCTTTTTTTTTTTTGTGAGGAGACCACCGGGCCAGCCCCTAAAGTAATATATTTTTAATTATTGTATTTCAATATTAAATTCTGTGACTTTAGTCTCCTTTGTTTAGCACAAAGGAAGAGCTTAAAAATGTTTGTTGAATATCAAATAAATGTGAGGGTATCTGGTTATTGATTGCTTTCCAGTATCCTTACAAATGGATTCAGATATATATTTTTTTTTTTTTTGAGGAAGATCAGCCCTGAGCTAACATCCATGCCAACCCTCCTCTTTTTGCTGAGGAAGACCAGCCCTAAGGTAACATCTATTGCCAACCTTCCTCCCGTTTTTTTTTTTCCCCTTTTTCCCTTTTTCTCCCCAAAGCCCCAGTAGATAGTTGTAATTCATAGTTGTACATCCTTCTAGTTGCTGTACGTGGCATGCCGCCTCAGCATGGCCGGACAAGCCGTGCGTCGGTGCACACCCGGGATCCGAACTCGGGCCACCCGTAGCAGAGCGCGCGCACTTAACTACTAAGCCATGGGGCCGGCCCCGCAGATATATTTTATTATTCAAAGGAACCAAATAGGGAAATAAAGTGTTAAATGAAAGACTGGAGAACCATGAAATAACAGATTTACTAAGGATCAGTGACAAAATTGTCCTTTTAAGCAAGGTTCAATGAAAAATCAAAAAGAGAAATTTCACAGTGAAATTAAGTACATTACAAATGACACCAAAAACTCCCAGGTAGCTAAACTTGTGTGTGTAAGTGTGAAGTGTCCACATGCATACACCCAGAGAGAGAAAGAAAAAGAAAAAGAGAAAGATACACTAAAATGTTAAAAGATCTTATCTCTGGGTGAGTGGCCCAGGGATTTATGAGGGAGAAGCACGTTTCCCTTGTTTGTTTGGTTTTTTTAACACATGTTATTTATATCATAGACATTGATATTTTAAAATAAAATCATTTGGAATTGTGTGCCTGCATTTTTAACCAGTGGTGAATTGAAACTAACTAAAGCAGCAGCTAAGGCAGCAACCTAGCCAAGACCCAAGGCAACTCTGCCTTAGACAGGAGGACATAGTCTCTACTGCTCTTTCATACAAAATTTCTAATACAAAACAAGAATTAAGAGAAATGGCCTAGATGGGGCAAATGGGACTGGATATATACACAATGAAATATTATTCAGTCATAAAAAAGAAGGAAATCTGCCACTTGTGACAACATGAATGAACCTTGAGGGCATCATGCTTAGTAAAATAAGTCAGAGAAAGACAAACACTGGATGTTACCTGCATATCTAAAAAAAATCTAAGGAAAAATATAAATTAGATCTGAGTGAAATCTGAAAAAAGCCAAACTTACAGATACAGAGAACAGACTGGTGGTTGCTAGAGGCAGAGGGTGGAGGATGGGCAAAATGGGTGAAGGTAGTTAAAAGGTACAAATTTCCAGTTATAAGATAAGTAAGTCCTGAGGATGTAATGTACAGCATGGTGAGTGTTAATTATTAGTTAACAATACAGTATTGTATATTTGAAAGCTGCTAAGAGAATAGATCTTAAAAGTTCTCATCACAGAAATTTGTAACTATGTGTGGTGATGGATGTTAACTAAACTTATTGTAGTAATCATTTCTCAATATATACACATATCAAATTATGTTGTGCACCTAAAACTAATACAGTATTGTATATCAATTATATCTCAATTAAAAAATAAAAATAGGGGGCTGGCCCCATAGCCTAATGGTTACATTCGGTGTGCTCTGCTTCAGCGGCCCGGGTTCGCGGGTTCAGATCCCGGGCCCTGACCTATACCACTCATCAGCTGTGCTGTGGTGGCAACCCACATACAAAATAGAGGAAGACTGGCACAGATGTTAGCTCAGGGAGAATCTTTCTCAGCAAAATAAATAAATAAATAGAAATTTAAAAAAATTTTTTTTAAAGAGAAGAAACAAACAAAAGTGAAAAATTCATTTTCAAGACATGGAAGCCCAGGCAATAAAAGACAGTAATCCCTTAGAGAAGAGAGGAACAAACGAGACAAGCCCTATGATTACCTAGCTAGTTGCTAGCTAGTTGCCTAGATAACTGGAGTGAGAGCCCAGCAATGTTCCTGAGGGGAGAAGACAGTGCTGGGAGTCCAGGGAGGATAAGGTGGCTGGAGTGTGCAGTGCCAAATAACAGAGAAGAGAGATAAGCCCAGAGAGCTCGCTCCCGAGATCTTTGGAAGGTGCTCTTAGAGTTTTCATCTTAGTACCCATCAGCACATTTGTGTAAAGAATGCCCCAGGGCCATGAAAAAAACTACTTATAAAGATTGGAGGAAAAAATACCTAGATCTCACATATAGCTAGAAATAGTTCCTGTTCCCACTAGCCAGAGTGTAAAAACCACATAATTTACAGGTCATAGGTAGAATACTTATAAGGATTTTGTGTTAATAGTGGGCCAAATTTAGCCCTGACCTGGGTTTCTCAACTTCAGCACTATTGAGAACACACTCAGTGCAAAGTATTGTCCTAAGCGCTTCATATACATCAGTATTTCTCACTCTCAGCACTATTCACATTTTGGAGTAAATTCTTCATTGTGGAGGCTGTCTTGTGCATCATAGGATATTTAACAGCATCCCTGGCCTCTACCTACTAGGTGCCAGTAGCAATCATCCTAGGTGTACGAATGTTGCCAGACATTACCAAATGTCCCCTGGGAGCAAAACTGCACCCAGTTGAGAACCCTAGAATAAACACAAGTCTGGTCTCACCTAACAGAAATTAAAAAGCAAGACCCCAGAGGATAATACTGTTTCCAGGTTAACTTAACTTGGTCTCAAAATAAAACTGAAGAATATAGGAATACAGAAATATCCAAGACCCAACAAAGTAAAATCCACAATGTCTGGCATTTGATTAAAAATTATCAGGTGTGATAGACAGTCTCTAAGTTGGCCCTATCATCTCTGCCCTCTTCTATGCCCACTCCTATGTGGTTCCCTTTACCTTGAGTGTGGGTGGGTCATGCAACTTGTTTTAACCAATAGAATGTGGCAAGGGTGATGAAATGTCACTGTTGTGATTATGTTATATAGGATCATGGCACTTGTATCACTCTGAGACTCTCTCCCTTGCTAGATTTGATGATGCTTTGACCATTTTAGGAGGCCCATATGGCAAGATGCTGAGGGCAGCCTCTGGCCAACTGCCAGAAAGAAACTAAAATACTCAGTCTTACAACCATGAGGAACTGAATTCTGCCAACAACTACATGAACTTAGAAGTGATTCTTCCCCTAGTTGAGACTCAGATGAGACTACAGCCCCAGCTGACACCTTGATTGCAGCCTTGCAGAAAACCCAGCTAAGCCATGCCTGAATCCAACACATAGAAAATGTGAGACAATAAATGTACGTTGTTATAAGCTATTAAGTTGTGGTAATATTGTTATACAGCAGTAAATAAATAATTTACGATGTATGCAAAGGAGAAATACGAGCCATAATAAGGAGGAAAACCAATCAACCAAAACTGACACACAAATGTGCAATTTATAGAACTAGTAGACAAGGACATTAAAACTTATGTATTCCATAAAGTAAAACAACTGTATTCCATCTGTTCAGTAAGCTAGAGAAAAATGGAATATGTTAAGTAGAGACATGGAAGATATAAAAGTATTTGAGACAAAAAATACACTGGATTGGATTAACATCAGATTAGACACTGCAGAAAAGATTAGTGAACTTGAAAACATAGTAATATAGATGATCCAAAATGAAACACAAAAGCCTGAAAAAAATGAATGAAGCATGAGTGAACTGTAGGACAATTTCAGGTAGCCTACTGCAGGTATA